TCCTGACCAAGCACTCACATACGCCTGACCTCATCGAGTCCATTCCTCGCCTGGCTGGCTGGCCGCTCCAAAAGCGGCTGCAGTTGCGCAGCAGGCAGTGCTTGCCAAAGGCGAACCTCCACAGCCACGTTCGCGAAGAAATGGTGGATCCATATGGATCACATGGCATATCTCTGAAGCAGGAAAAGTCCTTTGAGGCCTTCAAACACGTACTGTCAGTTGATTCATCCTTATTACTGGTAGGCCCGTAACTTCAAGCAGTTATTCTTTTGCGGGATGCTGAACAAGAAACTTAGAATCTGCTGGGCATCTGAAGCGATATAGACGAGCCATGGCCATTCTTTTCACCCATCCCGTGCTTTTGACGCTCCTTCCTCCTGTTCATCCCAGGACTCCATCGAACTTCATCCGGCAAGGGAGTCTACCCCTTTCCCGCTCAGGCCTTTCGCAAGGCTTGGAGCAACTCACTCTTCTCAAAGAGGCCTGAAATGCCTGATGGATAGATAGATGGATGGATAGATAGAGAAACAAATAGATAGAGATATAGATATAGAGATGTAGAGAGATAGAGATAAAGAGAGATAGAGATATAGAGATAGAGATATAGATAGAGAAAGAAAGAAAGATAGATAGATAGAAAGAGAGTTTGTGGGTTGCGGCTCAAGATTCCCTGCGTTAAACATGGGCGCATCGAGACGTGGCAAACTGTCTGGAAGTGCTGGGGCTACCAGTAGCAAATGTTAATGTAAAATACTCGCTAGAACTGTGCCTTTCTAAATTGAAGACTAGTGACTAGTGGCCAAACCCCAGCTCAAATCACTCGCCATTACTATTACCTCATCAACCTCTTGGGTTTGCTATGGTTTAAGGAACGGCAACAAAGTAAAGAGTTTTCCCCAAAAGGAGATGATTTATCTACGGTAGGGAACATAAACATCACCTGAAACAAAACTAGAAACATAACTTCGGTAAAAGTTTGCTTTTTCCATCGAAAACGCTGGCTCTCGATCTTGTATGCGTTCAAGCAAAAACTAACTCTCGGAGGAATGCCTAGTGGTGTGAGCTCGCTGAGGAGCTTCTGCGGCTTGAGCTGCTCTAAGTCTTTGAGCTCCTTGACCAAATGAGCTCGGAACCTGAAGAAAAGCGGCCTGGGCCTGGGATGGCCTGAACCCAAAGAGGACATCAGTGAGCAGAATTGAGTAAATAGGTCTTTTGTATGGTCTTGTGGCTTGTGAGTGTCCTTTCAATCCACTCCAAAACCTCAAAAGAGTTCTTCTTACCCAGTGTCTCTGGGTGAGTCTAGTCCCGAAACAAACAACAACAACAACAACAACAACAACAACAACAACAACAACAAATGTCCATTGGCAAGTCAGTCGAGTCGATCGGCGTTGTTTTAAAACTCACTCAAGTTCAGCTGGGTCACAAGCCGGGCTCCAAACCCATCTCGCGCCAAAGCTCCCGCTGCGACGACTGCGATGTCCAGCCGGTGGGGTCCGGGCCGGAAGCTGTCAATGGTCTCGAGGTCATTCTACTGGAAAAGGATCTGAATGAATTTATCAATAACTGACAAATTAAAATAACATAAACACACTTTAAAACCACTAAGAATCACATTTATATATTATATCATTCTACTTGATCAAAGAGCTCCTAAAGGATCTGAACGGATTGTTTGGCCAAACCCTCTGCAAGGTGAACACATTTAATGGATGCTACCCTATAGGCTTAAAGGTTACTTATATGCTTATATATAGGTCAAAGGTTACTTGGGGGAGGATGACGTCGCACCTCCTCGCAGAAGGAACATCACATGAAAAATCCATCCAACGCGTTGGAGTCCCTGACACAAGGCAACCACCTAGAGTCCCTTGGAGTCAAGTCAGGCGTCCTACCCAACTCGAGACCTCCTCACACAAGGAGTCTTTCAAAACCATCGCAAGTGCATCTTACAACCTGAAGAATTGTTATACATGTTTTCTGACATGCCATGGCATACCTACCTTCGATCTAGACTGTAGGAGGTCCACGACTGTCCATGATTCGTTTTACTGGGGGGGTTGGGTGGGGTGGGCGTGCGGGTCCGTTACCAACTTGTGAATGGACAGCGGAATCGAAGACCATTTTGGTGATTTGAAGTGCTGTCTTTTGCTGAATATGATTATGATTTGCATCTTCCCATCGCCTGGGCATCTTGTTCTTCCCTTGGCGCAAGCACGCAGGAGTCAACCAACTAGAAACACCACACAATATGTCACAACATGGGGCACTCAAAACTGTAAAGAGTGATTTTGGAAGAATAACTGTAACTATATGTGCGACGGTCAACACATGCTCCTTACTCTGCTGCCATTGTATCGCTCCTTCCCTATCGCTCCACACAGACCCAATCAAAAACAACAAACAACCCAACAATCTCTCTAAACATTGAGGATTCTTTGCGGTTCTCATGAGAGGGGCTCCCACGCCAATACGTGGTGGTGCTGCTGCAAATACTGCTGTTGCCGCTGTTGCAACTGAAGACTTACTGAAATCAGCAGGCCCTTTTCTATCATTGGCCATTCTGCTCCTAAGATCCCTGAACAGCTTCGTGCCAAAACAGGCTGGCAACTTATAAAATGGTTCGGACACTCTTTCGAAGAAATGTCCAGGTATCGCTCTTCGGGGTTCCCTATCGCTACACACAGTAATTGCATAGTCTTACAAAATCAATGGCGGTTCACCTGTAGAACTCTTCATAGGATGTTTTGGCCCTTGCTCATGCATATAACTCCAAATGATGTGGTTCCCGACCCTTCAGTTTTACCCACGAGAAACATATGATGACAACGTTTCAGAGTGCTAAAGCGAGACCTGGAAACCTGGAGACCGCTATACAAAGCGTGCTACTTCAAGAACATACAATGCAACACACTGAACACACCTCAAATAAGAGCGAAGAGGAGATTCTACATGTCTCTTCTGCCAGCCAGCCCCTGCATTTGACAATGACACAAAACTCAAAGTGTTTCTACTTAAAGTATTCAGCTTTGAGTGCGTTCACTGTGAGTAGAGGATGTGAGCAACAAAAAACAGCTCGTCTTTTTCCAGATTCCCATGCCCTGGCATGAAAGCTTTATCCGCGGAAGCTGCCAAGTGTCTCCAGGTCGTGGAAATCGAACATCCATGGACCAACGTGGCTTGCCGGTCCAGAAACGTTGCACAAAATGATGGGACTTGCTCTGCACTGGACTACCATTGCTATCATTTGCAATAGGTTCAGTTCGGATCCGAGGAATTCTTTAGAGATTCACATAGTGAGCTGAGGTAGGTCCCCATGTCGGGTTTTCCCGGAACTTGAATGCTACTTGTACAATTGCCTGCTGGTAGGGACACCCATCCACATGACTCAGGTGACCAGCTTGGTGCTCTGTGCCTTTCTGGGTAAGTCTGTCAATTCTTAACTTGCGAGTGTGGTCGGCAACGGCACAAAAGGTGCGATCCACAAAAAGTCATGAACAAGTTCTACCAATTGTTGGTATGGAAGGAGACATACGGCCATGGAAGGACTACCAAGACTCAGACAGTACAAAAGTGTTCCATACGTCCATCTCCGTTGTTGGTATGGAAGGAGATGGACTCAAGACTCAAACAGTACAAAAAGGCGACAGGAAGGCCATGTCTGCACCCTGCGGCAACAGGGACACTCTATCAATAGCGGATGGGCTCTGGTTGTACCAATGGCACTAGGATCTCCATTTTCTGGTGCAGGGTCTTTTGTGCCCATGAGGCTCAGCTATGGGAATGCAGAATGAGTATCCCGTCCACCCCTTGGCCCAAACGGACCACCTCTTCCGTCCCGTTCGTTGGGGTGACTCATCTGACGGCTCGAGGGCTTGTTCAACAAGTCGTCTACACGGGGCCAAGTTTGGGACTTGTTACTAGTAGCGATGCACTTGAGAAAACAAAGTTCTTCCGATGATTTCATCCCTGGTCTCCAACCACCTCCTGGGGCCTCCAACCTGCTCCCGGCAGCGAGGGCCTGGGGGCGGCTCGGTCGTCATCTCCAGCCACGTGACCAGGGTGCGGTGTAGGTGTTCAGGCATTGGGTCATGTCTTGAGTGCCAAGGATCATTCATATTCATTCATCATCTTTCCAAGCATTGCAGCTACCACGGTTTGAAGGAGCTGAAGAATAAGGACGGCAGGGACAAACTGACTCTCTGATTCTCCGACATAAAGACCAAACGCTCAAGATATGATTGAGTCTCAAAGTATCAAAGCATGAAAAACCATTGCAAACAAACCCTGGCTGAGAAATCCTGAGAATATGATTTGATTGATTTTGGGAGGAGATCAATTCCAGCTCATACACCATTGCTACGATTGTGGATCATTGACGTCTTCTTCACCCTGCCTCGCCTATTCACCTCTGCATCCGCTGATTCCGATAAGTAAGAGCTGGGTCAAAGACATCCATGACGGACATGTCAGAGCAAAAAGCTTTCAACAAACCGATGTTGGAAGGAAAAACTGGTTCCACCAGTGCAGGAAACCAGTTCCCAGACTGTTTAAAGCTTACCATTGTTTCCCAGCAGGTGAGTCAGTCTTCAGGTCTACAAAAGTTCTACGCGGAACCCTTGTGGCCGGATGCGAGAAAACCACATTCATTAGTCCGTTCCATACCTGAAACCCTAAGAACCCGTTGGAACCCTTATTCCTAAAACAGCTCAAACCGTTTAAGCGTGGATTCATGATTCGTTCTATTCGCATCTATGAGAATCATAGCGCTGGTCCAGAAGAATCTCAACACTGCAAGGGTCCACCTTGCCAGTTCAGCCCACGCAGTTCACCGAGAACACGTGTTCGAGACACAAGCTATTGTAGAAAATATCTGTTCAACATTCCAAGTATTGTGATGAATACAACCCCAACCATAGGTACACATGTAAAACTTCTCCACCATGAGCTTTGGTGATTGATGATCAGGACTTCTCCCAAGGAAACCGGTGACCTGCGACCTGCGGTGGCACCGAGAGCCCATGCAAATCTTTGGTATAGGACCCCGGCCTTGGCCCACGTGACACGGTACGGTACGGGGAAGAAACAAAGGGCGCGTGGGACTCGAGGGCTTTTGTTGACTGTTGACACTGTTGAAAAAGATTGAGGTGTTGAACCGCATGCACTTGGAGAAACTCCGTGGCAATAGCATGCAAGAGCAACGGATTTGCATGCTGGAATGATTCATTTGCCAAGCAGTGGCTAGAATGCTGTTTGTAACAATGTATATTGATGTTGGGATATCATTACAGGCATCAAATCGCTTCTGACTATACCTGTTTGACATGGATTTGATGAATTTGGGCCAGCAAACACTTGTCTCAATAGGCGAACGGTGTCAAACCTAGGCCCACCTCACTGGTCGATCCCAGGTGGGAGTTGGGCTCACGGCTCGAGTTGTGCAACTCGTTGGTTCGAGTAGTGCATCAAATACATAAATCTAAACTGAAACAAGACATACATGATTCATTCACATCAATACAATATATAAATCCTTGCAACGGTCTTGTAACAACAAATTTATACCTCAATTAGTTCCTGAAATTCCCCGCCTCGAGCCCCGCCTTCACTGCCTTCCAACCACGTTTCTTTCGGCACTTTCTTGTTCAGCACTGAGCTCCAGACCCGGGCGTGCACTTGGACCACGGCAAGGGGTTGAGGACCCGGTCCTCTTGTCGCCGGGCGTGACGGAATCACGAAGCCACCGTGTCACCGTTGGAGAGTGGTGACGCTAGTCGTTGATGCACAGGAGAGTGGTGGATACTTCATGTTTATCCACCGTATGGCTTCAGGAGTTCTATCTGGACTTACCCTTCTCGGGAAGACTATTGGAGGGGCATGCCTTACAAGAATCATCTTGAGAACCGTGCAGGCCCTGTCGCTAAAGCGAGTTTTCTTTCTCCTTCACCTTCCACACCACTCACAACAATTGGTCTAAACCAGTCAACTTAGCAAGTAAACTCCAACGATCAAGTCCAATGAGTTCGTCGTTTTGAGAACCGTCGAACCGTTGTGCTGCTGATGATTTCAGAAATACCGTCGGTATGGGGCATGGGCATACTATGCCCCCAAAAGGTACTGAATAAAGGCAAATCAATATGTCTCCACTTCCACAAGGGTGCAAGGGATGTATTCCTCGACACTGGTGCAAGGCATGAGTTCAAGACTCTTCAAATCTCTTGAAGACTACAAGACCGGAGGATACACCTTAAGACCGACAGGGATAATATGGGTGCATTTTGAACATTTTGGCTCTGAACACGTCTCCTCTTCTTTGCTTCGTGTCCCCTTCGCTCTGAACACGCTCCTGCATGCTCATGAAGGGTGCCAGCGCCTCGGAGGAGGCCTCGATGAGAGCCGCCGATGCAGACACAGCGCGCTAGGCTAAGCAGTTCCGCAGGACTTCTGTGGATGGAAAGGGACCTTCGACGTTTGGGTCCAGGTGATGCAAGGTGACTCTATATAGAGGTCCTTCACCATCTACTTTGATTCGCCGAAATGAACCTGGTGACTTAGTTTCGCAACACTGCCAGAGTTGATGTGGGGATCTAGGTTCGGGTTCCCCGAAGCTAAGAACGAAGAGGTTGAAGCTGAGCCTGGATCCTGGAGATGGTTACAGCATATTATAGTAATATAGATTGAAACTGACAGGATTGGAATACCCATCGTGTTGCTATGATCTCCAAGCAGTCTTGGCCAATCCAAAACAGAGTCCTGCATCCTTCCCCTCAAACCCTGGCAGCAACTGCACAGATTTTGTTTGCCATCATTCGAGCCATCGCTTGATATCCGGGACCGAAGAGCCCTTGCAGCATGTAGGAGACTGGCTGCATGCCATGGAACAAGGAGACACACACCTCTCCTGCACCATTGGAGCCTGGCAAAGGGCTGGAGAATTGTGATACATTGTCATATTGTTCACAAACAAGACATGTGTATAGAAAACCTATAGTTTTTTTTTTGTGTGGAAAAATGATGGGTCAAAATGTCCCCACCAGCGGGGATTAACAGATTCGATTCCAATATGTAACTGGCGTTTACAGCGCATCCAGAACCCTAAGGGATGCCAAGCGATTCAAAAGTTTGACCTCTTAAGAGTCAGATTGGATGGCTCACCAGTCAGGATGTGTCCATCAGTATCGTGAACCAAAGAACTGAGTCCCTCAGTGTCGTGGAACTAGGTTCTGGTTCATCCAGCTTCACCTTTTACCATGTGTTCATGATGCACTGGACAAATCAATCAAATTGAAACTACATGTTCTTAGTTTCAACAAACATGTTCCCAGCTTCAGGCAGGCCCCAGCTCAGTGGGCCAGCTATACCTTCTGAACAAATTGTTACTATATATATATATATATCATCCTAGATCTTTGAGTCAGCATCCCATCAACATTGTGGCTGGCGGGCTTGATTGTTTCCCACCAGTCTAAAAAACGCTCCTTCACAAATCAGAAGTCCGGAGGGGCATAGGGGAATACTGTAATCATGTTGAAACCAACGGTGCTCTTTGTCATTTTTCCTACTCTGGCATAGTTGCCCCCGGATCCACCACCCTGCCTGCGTGGCAGGACTGGCCCAGAAAGAGCATCAAGTCCTTGGATGGGCAGAAAATCAGAGGGATCTGTCGCAGCTTTGCCTGTCTGATTTGAGAAGTCAAAGCCTTGGTCTTGTTTCCTGGGAGAGCCCAGCAGCCCTGGCACCATGTAAGGGGACCTAGAGGGGTCTAATATAGAGGCCCTGTACTCAGAACAAACTCCACGAGAATCCTGAGACTGACATGGATGTGTCCCGCCATTCTTCTCTCCATCAGCACCGGAAAAGAATGGAAACAACATCATGCCAAAAAAACGCTGGAACATCAAGCCACAAGCAAACGGTTGTTCCTCTCTCTCTACAGTATATATTATATTTTACGATAAAGTTTATCACAGTATATAATGTCTATGAGAATTTCTAGTGCGGAATCTCTCCAGTGTGTACTGTTGGAAACACGGGCATCTAGAGTAAACACCGAGACATGGCCGTCGCCCAGCATACGAAGACTGCCCTGATGTTGTCGAGTGTCGCACCATGCACGCGTGACTGAGTACTGGAAGAGTCCAGTAGACGTTATGTCTATTCACATCAGGATCATCAATGGGATAGGATAAAACCATATACAACCTGATCGGTATATCATAGATGGGATATACATGAGATATCAACAAAAACAATACAATATATAATCCATGATAATTTCTATCATGGTTATAGTTACAGTATGCAGCCGTACGCATCAGTATGCCATTTAGTCCCACTTCGAGATCCGGGAAGACCCGGGTACGACATGGGCCATTCGTCTTGTGGCCCCAGCGTCTCCCGGTCTCAGCACCGCCACCGAGACCTCTGGCTGCACCAGGTACTCCTCCACCTCGACACCGGACGTGGAGGTCGACAGTTGAACTTCAGGAGACGCACAGCGCCATGGCACCACAGCGCCTGCGAAGCTGCGTGGCGGCGAAACCGCTGCGGCTGGGAAACCGGCGAAACCGGCTGGGAAACCGTGGCGGCCGTGGCTGGGAATCGAAGAATCAAGCTGAGCTCTGAGGTCAAGCTGAGCTCTGAGCTCTGATTCAGATTGCCCATCTGGACTTCCGAATGACGCCTCTTTGTGGGCTCCGCACGACCCCAGGACTCGAATCGTCATGGCCCCGCGGAAGACTTCTTCCCCTCAACAAGAAGCTACGTTCGGGGCTCCTGGCCTTACTAGGAGCAAGTAGCTACTATAGGAACAAGGATGCTATTACTTCGAAACCAGTTTTCGAGGATCCGTGTTCATCTGCAGTTCGACGGACCGCAGCACGCTGCGGCGGGCGTCGCAATGACCGACCGAGCGTGTGGAAACGCCTGGGGGCCGACCACCGTTGGGAGCCACGGTGAAGAATTTCCGGCCATGAAGGACATGGCAAAACCTGGAGCCGTGAAGGGTTCGAAACCGAATTGGGCTCGAACGCTCCCACAGACGCGACCGAATGGGTGTATGGCATATTTATACCGATCAGTTGGGTTGGTGCCAGAGGGGTCAATGTAGGCAAATATGCCATTCATGGAGTGTCTGGAATATGTTTGAAACAACACCCGGTTTTTTTGGATGGTTTGCTGACCAGGACATGAATTTGTTGGAATACGACCAATGGCACCCCAAAGCCGGGTTCTGGCGGTATGTAGGTTATATGGGAAGAATGGGCACCACCTGTTAGAGGGTCCAGGAAAGAAGTTCTGCCGATGGAGTCTTCCTGATCCTGTCTACTCTACACCCCCTTAAGCCCATGACCTGGACCTCCATGGCATTTGCTCGTAGATATAGAAATCACAGCTCCTGGGGGGGCTAATGTTGACGAAGAAAGATGGTCTTTGCAACCTGAGAGTTGAAGAGCATCCTGCCATGACTGCAGGGTGACTGGCGTATTACGCATGCTGCAAGTGACTGGCGTATCTCAATCCCTTGAAATCATAGCCGCCATATCTTGGGTGCAACGCCTGCGCCTTTGCCGGGTTTTGGACGCCACAAATGAATACGTGTCTGATCATGTCTGTCTGCTGAGAAACTGTTTCATCATGGTCCCTTCTCTTTGAGCATAGATCAAATAGCCAGCCTCTCAAGAGCCACCCGTGACTTCTCCCAACCCTTGCGGTGCATTCTTTTAAAGAACTCCCATGAAATTCCACCGTCAGCAATACACCAGTGGCTCCAAAAGACATTCAAACAAAACAACAAGTGGAGCTCAAAACCACATATTTCCATCTTCTTTGGTGCATCACTTTCACATCTCTTGTGAAGAGTTCCAGTGCCAAGCGGCTGCAGCAGGGGCTTTCGGTCAATGTGGAGGTGCGACCCAGTGCCACCATCCCCGGCGAAAAGCATCGGCACACGCTCGGAGACGAAGAGTGTGTCAGATCCCAACCTGGGACGATCGAATCGAAGTCCCACCTGTGGGTGGGTTCGAGAACATCTCCGTTTGACAAGCCGTTGATAAGGAAAAGTAACATCCTCTGACAAACCTCTTCCCCTTGTTAGATGTTCACACATTATCGCATGTGACGCTCGAATTCACCGGGAGGCCACAAAAACCAGAACCTGCCTGATCCGGTCGCGGTCGCGGGTCGCGGGAACACTGCGTCGGACTTAGGAGCCCTGACTGCTGGCCCAGTTGGGCGACCAGCTCCGAGGCCTCCACCGTCACCCCTCTCGACTCCTCACCTTGACCAAACGAACGATGGAATTATTCGGCCCCCAGGACGGACGTGGCATGGACGCGGTGACCGTTGGCTTTTAAAAGAAAAGGAACTGGAATCATATTGAAAAGGTGATGTAAGTCAAAGCATGTCAAGATAACTTGGTTCAGGGAAACATGACGAATCATCGAATTTGGGTGCAAGCGGTGGTCACAAGGTCTGTTCATCCTCTCTGACCGACATCTACTGACAAATTGTTCTCCCGGAATAATAGTATCTCATCGGATTCATTCCTTTACCCCCTTTTGCGCCAGCAAAGGCACCAAATGGCCGGGTCCTAACCAAACACAACGACTGGTGCCACAACAGCGCAAGTCGGCTCCTAAGACCTCGGAAGTGGAGGACTGATGCGACGTAGACCTCTGATTTTTGCACATTGAGCGCCAATGTAAAGAAGAATCAACATCAGGGTGGTCAACATCGCTCTCCCATCCCCCACACAGCACTCATCCTAACAACACATCTCCCACCACTCTGAACCCATGGGCCTAAAAATGGCCTTAAGGAGTCCTGGGAGGCCAAGACTTCTCGCAAGTAGATCTGCTCCACGCGAACCTTGGCAAAGGTCAACTCGAGGTCAGGCGCTGCGCTCGCTGCGCTCAATAGCTCTTGGATCGTCTCGAACCTTGGCACGATGGTATGGCAGAAGCATAATTCCATCTGAACAGGCCCACCTGTGCCCTCCAGGAAGCGGGACAACATGAGAGTGGGTTGTCTAAACTTCTGGTGCCCGAGTTTTTCTGAAAGTAAGATTGAGAGATTTGGTACTGAACGGAGAATTTAGGCTCTTAAACTCTGTGACCCCAAGTCACTGTCCCAAAGGTTGGAGTAGAAGCTTAGGCCCACTTTTAGCTCAAACACGCGTGAGCTCTGGTATCGAAATGAACACAAAAGTAAGCCACAAACGGCTGCAGTGAAACATACATCTATACAAGCTATGTCATGTACATGTAACTGGTGCTACATCTGATCACGCCTCCCGAGTTTAACATCTCCCAGAAGTTAAGCGAGTCAGGATTAGCACTTCGGTGAATTAGCTCGTAGCCCTTCAGTACCTCTTCAAGACCAAGA